ATCCTCGAGAGGCTCTGTATCTTAGCTTTCCTTTGTTCACTAGTAGGCTGCTGCTTAGAAATGTGGGAATCCTTCAGCGACTAATGGCCTCGCGCAAAGGAGCATGCAAAAGCAAAGCGTGGAGATGCGTGCAGGCATAAGACGAGCCCCCAGGCGGGATTGAACCACCGACCTTTCGCTTACGAAGCGAGTGCTATACTGAGCTATAGAGGCATGATGGAAGAATGGACTATGTAAACACTTCAAACTGCCCGTGCATACGAACACGGATACCTGTCGAATCCATACACAATTGATCGTCTCCTACACGATGTGAGGTTCTCAAAGCGCCATCAGATACTGGCTGATGTGTTACTCCATGGAGCTCGCTTCGACACCGCTATGGGCTGTTTGCCACCAGCGAAATCGTCGCACAAAGCAGGTTATGGCTAATTGACGTTGCTCGTTCCTCTGTTTTTAGTGCGGTATGTTGGTGGAGCGTCGCTATGCGCGATTATTGTTGTATTCGAGGAATCTGTTGTGAAGGCATAGCAGTGGGGGAATAGCTCAGTGGTAGAGCGCTGGATTCCAGACCCAGCGGTCGGGGGTTCGATCCCCTCTTCCCTCATGCGTTACTCTTTCACTGGTGCACTTGCACTTCGGGTCAAGCGCTGAAACAGGTAGACTACATAGTCATGTACCAGCTTCACGTGTCAGGGAACGAGTGGGCTTGTACAAGAATGCAACAAAAGTGCGATACTTCTCGATTTATGCGTGTCATCCTTGCGCAGGGGCCATGCTAATCTTCTCTGTATCGTTCCAATTTTTACGGATGACCACCGAAGTGGTTCCTATCTACTGGCCGCACCGCGCGCTATTTAACAGCGACTTGGACCACATGTCCAGAACCACTTCGGCCACAAGTGAAGCCTATACGTGTATTCAGTAGCGGCGTATCTGCAAATGCACTGTCTGGCTGCATTTTGGCCCGAGTTGTTGAGATGAGCGCGCCACGTTGATGCACATGGGGAAGACATTACTGTCGACAGCTGTGAGATTCGAACTCACGCGGGTTGCCCCATTAACTTAGCAGGCTAACGGCTTAACCACTTGGCCAAGCTGTCGCCCTCGAACTCGACAAATGCGAACATTTCTACAAATCAAAACCAACCCTTTTGAAGCAACACCTCAACATAGCCAGAACGCGGCAAAATTGTACTGACCTACCGTCATGATAGCCTCAGATATTCCGTGCTACGATGGTCTGCACATATATATGTACACCGGCATATTGTTAGCGTTTGCCACTTCACTGCCCTACGCATGGAAGCTTTCAACACTCCGAGACTGAACACTCGCTATCGGCTCGCGCCATCGTTCAAATCCAGCATCGAGAAGCTTCTGAATAGATGGTATTCTTTCACAACGACATACCGGTAGGGTGCATATCTTCCCTCCGTACCTTTTAATCGGGTTATAGCGAGAGTGAATTCAATTGGTCGCCATGCACAGCACACTTTAACCATGTCATCCAAAAACCGATGCTATATCCTGCATCACCAACATACAGCTGATTGTGTACATCCTCGAGAGGCTCTGTATCTTAGCTTTACTTTGTTCACTAGTAGGCTGCTGCTTAGAAATGTGGGAATCATTCAGCGACTAATGGCCTCGCTCAAAGGAGCATGCAAAAGCAAAGCGTGGAGATGCGTGCGGGCATAAGACGAGCCCCCAGGCGGGATTGAACCACCGACCTTTCGCTTACGAAGCGAGTGCTATACTGAGCTATAGGGGCATGATGGAAGAATGGACTATGTAAACACTTCAAACTGCCCGTGCATACGAACACGGATACCTGTCGAATCCATACACAATTGATCGTCTCCTACACGATGTGAGGTTCTCAAAGCGCCATCGGATACTGGCTGATGTGTTACTCCATGGAGCTCGCTTCGACACCGCTATGGGCTGTTTGCCACCAGCGAAATCGTCGCACAAAGCAGGTTATGGCTAATTGACGTTGCTCGTTCCTCTGTTTTTAGTGCGGTATGTTGGTGGAGCGTCGCTATGCGCGATTATTGTTGTATTCGAGGAATCTGTTGTGAAGGCATAGCAGTGGGGGAATAGCTCAGTGGTAGAGCGCTGGATTCCAGACCCAGCGGTCGGGGGTTCGATCCCCTCTTCCCTCATGCGTTACTCTTTCACTGGTGCACTTGCACTTCGGGTCAAGCGCTGAAACAGGTAGACTACATAGTCATGTACCAGCTTCACGTGTCAGGGAACGAGTGGGCTTGTACAAGAATGCAACAAAAGTGCGATACTTCTCGATTTATGCGTGTCATCCTTGCGCAGGGGCCATGCTAATCTTCTCTGTATCGTTCCAATTTTTACGGATGACCACCGAAGTGGTTCCTATCTACTGGCCGCACCACGCGCTATTTAACAGCGACTTGGACCACATGTCCAGAACGACTTCGGCCACAAGTGAAGCCTATACGTGTATTCAGTAGCGGCGTATCTGCAAATGCACTGTCTGGCTGCATTTTGGCCCGAGTTGTTGAGATGAGCGCGCCACGTTGATGCACATGGGGAAGACATTACTGTCGACAGCTGTGAGATTCGAACTCACGCGGGTTGCCCCATTAACTTAGCAGGCTAACGGCTTAACCACTTGGCCAAGCTGTCGCCCTCGAACTCGACAAATGCGAACATTTCTACAAATCAAAACCAACCCTTTTGAAGCAACATCTCAACATAGCCAGAACGCGGCAAAATTGTACTGACCTACCGTCATGATAGCCTCAGATATTCCGTGCTACGATGGTCTGCACACATATATGTACACCGGCATATTGTTAACGTTTGTCGCTTCACAGCCCTACGCATGGAAGCTTTTAACCCTCCGAGACTGAACACTCGCTATCGGCTAGCGTCATCGTTCAAATCCAGCATCGAGAATCTTCTGAATAGATGGTATTCTTTCACAACGACATACCGGTAGGGTACATATCTTCCCTTCGTACCTATTAATCGGGTTATAGCGAGAGTGAATTCAATTGGTCGCCATGCACAGCACACTTTAACCATGTCATCCAAAAACCGATGCTATATCCTGCATCACCAACATACAGCTGATTGTGTACATCCTCGAGAGGCTCTGTATCTTAGCTTTCCTTTGTTCACTAGTAGGCTGCTGCTTAGAAATGTGGGAATCCTTCAGCGACTAATGGCCTCGCGCAAAGGAGCATGCAAAAGCAAAGCGTGGAGATGCGTGCAGGCATAAGACGAGCCCCCCAGGCGGGATTGAACCACCGACCTTTCGCTTACGAAGCGAGTGCTATACTGAGCTATAGAGGCATGATGGAAGAATGGACTATGTAAACACTTCAAACTGCCCGTGCATACGAACACGGATACCTGTCGAATCCATACACAATTGATCGTCTCCTACACGATGTGAGGTTCTCAAAGCGCCATCGGATACTGGCTGATGTGTTACTCCATGGAGCTCGCTTCGACACCGCTATGGGCTGTTTGCCACCAGCGAAATCGTCGCACAAAGCAGGTTATGGCTAATTGACGTTGCTCGTTCCTCTGTTTTTAGTGCGGTATGTTGGTGGAGCGTCGCTATGCGCGATTATTGTTGTATTCGAGGAATCTGTTGTGAAGGCATAGCAGTGGGGGAATAGCTCAGTGGTAGAGCGCTGGATTCCAGACCCAGCGGTCGGGGGTTCGATCCCCTCTTCCCTCATGCGTTACTCTTTCACTGGTGCACTTGCACTTCGGGTCAAGCGCTGAAACAGGTAGACTACATAGTCATGTACCAGCTTCACGTGTCAGGGAACGAGTGGGCTTGTACAAGAATGCAACAAAAGTGCGATACTTCTCGATTTATGCGTGTCATCCTTGCGCAGGGGCCATGCTAATCTTCTCTGTATCGTTCCAATTTTTACGGATGACCACCGAAGTGGTTCCTATCTACTGGCCGCACCACGCGCTATTTAACAGCGACTTGGACCACATGTCCAGAACCACTTCGGCCACAAGTGAAGCCTATACGTGTATTCAGTAGCGGCGTATCTGCAAATGCACTGTCTGGCTGCATTTTGGCCCGAGTTGTTGAGATGAGCGCGGCACGTTGATGCACATGGGGAAGACATTACTGTCGACAGCTGTGAGATTCGAACTCACGCGGGTTGCCCCATTAACTTAGCAGGCTAACGGCTTAACCACTTGGCCAAGCTGTCGCCCTCGAACTCGACAAATGCGAACATTTTACAAATCAAAACCAACCCTTTTGAAGCAACATCTCAACATAGCCAGAACGCGGCAAAAGTGTACTGACCTACCGCCATGACACCTAAGATCTTCCGTGCTACCACGGTCTGCACACATATATGTACACCGGCATATTGTTAACGTTTGTCGCTTCACAGCCCTACGCATGGAAGCTTTTAACCCTCCGAGACTGAACACTCGCTATCGGCTAGCGTCATCGTTCAAATCCAGCATCGAGAATCTTCTGAATAGATGGTATTCTTTCACAACGACATACCGGTAGGGTACATATCTTCCCTTCGTACCTATTAATCGGGTTATAGCGAGAGTGAATTCAATTGGTCGCCATGCACAGCACATTTTAACCATGTCATCCAAAAACCGATGCTATATCCTGCATCACCAACATACAGCTGATTGTGTACATCCTCTAGAGGCTCTGTATCTTAGCTTTCCTTTGTTCACTAGTAGGCTGCTGCTTAGAAATGTGGGAATCCTTCAGCGACTAATGGCCTTGCGCAAAGGAGCATGGTCAAGGAAAGCGTGGAGATGCGTGCAGGCATAAGACGAGCCCCCAGGCGGGATTGAACCACCGACCTTTCGCTTACGAAGCGAGTGCTCTACCACCGAGCTATAGGGGCACTTCTCAATTTGTCGGATTCCTAACACGTCGTCTCATTCAGAAGAACCCTATCTCCTAAGATTTGTCTGCCTCTTTTTCCCATGGAAAATCCAGCTTCTGCCTACTCTACCTCGCGAGCACACGAGTCATCTTTCGTCTGCTCGGAGCTCTGGCGTCCGATCGGACGTTGACCCGGATACGTCAGGAACCATGGAACTTTCCACGGAATCGACTCTACTTGATCCTTGATGGACCCAACGAATTTCTGGATACCCCTTCCCTCCCACCTGCGTCGTCCCTTCTCTGCACTCTGGAGGAGGATGATCCGATGGAATCTGCGATTCCATCCGCTCATATCGGCGTCGCATTGCGTGGAAAGGATACGAGACCGACGATGGCAGATGTGATTGCGCGACACGAGCGCCTTCGACGTGACAACGCTGAAGACGATGCTGCTCGTCGTCGTGTGGAGACGCCAAAACCCCTCGCCTGCGACATCGAGGCGATCGAGCGACAGTATGCCGCTGGCAACGACTGGTCGTTCATCGCCATGTGCATAGACCAGGCGCGTCCGTACGAACTGCCACGTGCCAAGTACGACATGGTGATTGACACCGGAAGGACCTTCGCGAAGACTCCGCTCCAGAAGATCATGGCGTCACTGACTGGCAAAAGCCATGGTAGTGACGTTCTTGAGCGTCTTTATGCATCGCACGCGATCGGCCAGATCTCAAAGCTCCCTGGAGGCAATCTGCTCGTCAAGGTCAATTTGAAGGAAGCATGTCTACTCCTAGGACGCACCAAGGTGAACATTCTTGGTGGTTGTTTCCTGTTCAAGGAATTTGACGTACTGAGCGCAAAGTACTTCATCGACATTTCAAGCATTGAGTCCGATACTCCCACGGATCTCATTCTGCAGCGCTTGTTCCAGCTAGGATGCCAGCCCGTGTACGACACTTTCCGTGACGTTAACCTTGCGACAGGTCTCACGTCCGCGACGTTGCGTGTGTACTTCCTTTCCACCACGTGTCCGAGTGCGTTGATGATCAATGGCTTGGTCTGCGATCAGGTGCTCTTCGACAACAAACTTCACCCTGCGCACGGCAAGAACGCACCGTACCAGTCGGAGCGACTGCCAATTGGCTACCGCTCCTACCACGTTCTCGACCTGAGTACGACTGACGGCCAGTTTCCACCGCCGGAAACAGCGGCTGGGTCAACTCCATCTCCCACATCGTCTTCGCATTCTCTACCGAGGCAGCCGATCCCCTCGAAGTCGTACGCACAAGCAGCCCGTGCGACGCCAATTCGTCAACTGACTTCTCTGCAGAAAGCAGTCGAGGAGGCAAAAACCAGGACTTCTCAGCCCCAGCGTGGTGCTCAGCATGGTAAGCATTCTGCTGCCAGCCAACTGGCTAAAGTGCCACCAACATCCACTGATACGCTCTCAATTTCGTCATTTAACGACTCCAACGGCAAGATTTCCCCTCCCAGTAGTCCGAAGGCGCCAAAGAAGCTTCTTTTGCTGACCAACGGACCAGAGGACAATTTTGTGACCGCGTCAAACAAGAAGAAGAGATCGCGCAAGGCCACTGACTTCTCCAACCTCATGGTCAAGCAACAGCCGACCCCTCTCGACGGTATTGCGACGGCCAACTATTTCCAGGCTCTCCAGTCGATGTCGGTCACGTTTGAGTCGAAGAATGTGACGGCGGACAAGACGTACGGAGTCCGGTACCATGTGGCTCCGGTTGATGTGAAGCGTCCAGACTCGATGAAGACCTCGACTGAATCAGCCTTCTTCGTCGAGAAGCACCATACGAAGATCAAGAAGGCCTCCAAGGCGACCCCTATCATGGAAGTAACGGAAGCAATGCTCGATGATGAGAACACGGCGCTTCTTAGCGTCCTTCCGGATCGTCTCGCGGAGGCGGACACGGAGGTGGATGGTGCGTGCAAGCTCTTTGAAAATGCAACGAACCCTGACCATATCACGAAGAAAGCCATCGAGTGTCCGCTTGCCTTCAATAGCACTATAGCTCTCAAGATGGCCGGGGATGGTCACGAGATCGCCGAGCTGGCTCAGATGCACGTAATCAACCGCGTCTTCAGTGCTACGTGCCCCGGAGATGATACGACATTCAGCGCGAAGTGGAAAAAGCTTATGGAATCGAGTGTCCCGTCGAAACGTGGTGATATCTTTAAAATGTGCGCGAAATGGTGGACATCGTCCGCCTCGATCACTGAACTGTCTCGTGCGTCGAAAGCCTTGGGAATTTTTGAGCTTACTCTCATGTCCATTGCGCCGACAATATTCACGAACGACCACTGAATCCAGTACATCACGGGCCAGCCGGTCAAGTGGATTCCGGCTCACCACACAAGGCTCCTACATCCGAATACTTTCCTCCGGCTTCTCCGTTCGGACCTCGGGTCCCTCTGTATGCAGCAGTGGCGAGAAGTGCAGTGGCAAGGTCACCTATTGCATGACCTCGAGTCGCTCCGGACGCTGGATGGATTCTACCCGGATGATTCTTCGGTTCTCCAACTCCGGGTTGTGGATGGTGACGTGGTGATGGTCGCGAGCTACCTCGCCACTCGCTGCTAAAGTTTCCGAGATTTCCACCGCTCTATGGAGCAACGTGAGTGTTCTCACCGTGAACACAAACGGCATCAAGAATAACGGTCACCTCTTTATCGAGAAAATGCTCTCCAAGTACTCATTGGCATGCGTCCAAGAAACCAAGTTCGGTTGTAGCTCGCATCTTTCCAATTTCACATTCCACATGGATTCAAGCTTTACGAACAAGGTATTTGTGGATGATCCTAACTCTCTGTTGCATCGACCCACGCGTGGTCGGTGCAATGGAGTGCTCACAATGATCCGCTCCGACTTCCCTGGATTTGATACAGCCATGATAGTTCCCTCTGTCGCGGTCCCGGGTCGCTATCTCGTCGTGAAGTTAATGGTCGAGGACTCTCCTGTTTACATCCACAATGTGTACGCCCCTGTTGATCGCCGCGAGAAGCATCAATTCTTCTCACAATTGGACACGGCGGAGTTTGAGGAACACGCGACGCACTTGGTGCTGGGAGACCTCAATACGCCGCTCGATCCTCGTCTCGACTCTTGTTCATCCGACCGACGTCATGACCCTGGACGGTTAAGCTGTCTCGAGTGGCTGTCACAGCTCGGGGTTGTTGACGCCTGGTGGATACATCATGACACCAAGCGCGTCTTCACTGATCCCCTACCCCGGAGAAATCGATTGGACTACATTTTACTATCGGACGACTTCTGCACGCGCTTCTACGGTGACTCCAAGTACTTCCTACCCCAGCATGCGGGTGATCATCTCGCCCACAGTTTGCTCTTGCATTCAGGGGAGCAGCTACACGGCCACGGTTACTGGAAGTTACCGCGTTATTTACTGGAGTATCCAGTTGTTGTACAGGCCATCGAGCGCGAGGCTGACATGGTCCTTGAGCAATTGCGTATCGCTACTAACCCGGGCAAGGTCTGGGAGAAATGGAAGGTCCGCATCAAGCGTCAACTACAAGATGTTCAAGCGAAGATCCGGCAGCAGAACTCGCAAGCAGTACTGGAAGCTCGAAGTCAGCTTGACCGGGCCGCGTCCGTATACCGTGTGTCTGCAGCCGTCTCCGACCGCGAAATCTTTAATGAGGCACTCCGAAATTACAAGGGTATCGTAACTTGGGAGAGCCGGCACAATCAAGACAAGTCGTTTGACTTTCAAGTGGCAAACTCTGAGAAGTCTACTCGCCATTTCTTTCGTCCGGTCGACACGACCTTGCGGCGAGTCTCCATCGAAGAAGTGGACACACCAGGCGGAGGTGTCTCCAAGAACCCGCTCGAGATCTCTCTCCGTTTTCTCGAGCACTGGGGATCAATGATGGGAGACCCATGCAGCCCGACCGGTACAGCCCCTCCTCCTGACGACGTGATGCAGCAAAAGCTGCTCAACTCGATCACCCGCGTTGTTTCCGATGTTGATCATGCCATTCTCAATGCTCCGGTCACACCTACGGACCTGGCGGCAGCGATTCGCCACATGAAGCCCACGTCAGCGCCGGGTATGGATGGGCTGACGGCTGGATTTTACCAGGTGGCTCCGGATGTGTTCGTCGCGTGCTTAAGCCTTGTGTTTAACAATCGCCTACTACATGGTACACTGCTTCCATCGCAGCGCAAATCAGCGGTAGTCCTACTACACAAGAACGGATCCCGTGCTTCCCCTGGAAACTACCGACCCATCTCACTCGTGCAGGTTGACGTGAAGGTGCTTTCCAAAGCTTTAACGTACCGGCTGCAGCACGTCATTGTGGACCTGATTCATCCTGATCAAAAGGGATTTGTCAAGAGCCGTTCGATACACCATCATGTTCGGTTTCTTGCGGATCTACAAAATCTCGTGACGGCAATGGATGACGACGCGAACGCTTTATTTTTGGATTTTGAAAAAGCATTTGATCGCGTAGACTGGACGTACATGTTTCGACTGCTCGAGCGCATGGGACTCGGCGCAGAGTTTCTCCAGTGGATTCACCTACTGTATCATAAACCGCAAGCTCACCTAGTGATCAACCAGAACATCCAGCCAGCGCTTTTTCCGACGAGGGGCGTCAAGCAGGGGGACCCACTGTCGGCGCTGCTCTTTGTACTGACGATTGAACCACTAGGAAACCTTCTCCGGTCTCATGAAGAATATGGCGTGTGTGTGAGCGCGGATCACACCTGCACCAGCACGTTCTTTGCGGATGACTCGACACTTCTGGGAAGCTCAATCACGAACATACAAGCGCAGCTTGAGCTTGTGGATGAGTACTGCCGTGGATCTGGTGCAAACCTTAATTTATCGAAGTCTGTCTTGTTGGCGCTTAATAGGAATCACGACTGTCCGATCCTTCCAGGAGTGAAAGTGCTCGGTCGCATGGAGTCGGTGAAGTATCTCGGAATCTTGGTCAGCCAGTCGTGTGTTAATGATGAAACTGTGGAGTTCCTTGATCAGCGCTTTTACGATGGATTTAAGGCTTGGTACCGGCGTGCAAGAACGCTTCGTGGCAGGCTTTTGATAGCTCAAACTATGGTCCTCTCTCGATTATGGCACTATGCACAACATGCGTCGATTTCCGCAGCAGTGGTAAAGAGGTGGCAGTCAATGTTGAACAAGTTTGTACTGAGTCGTAAGCATGACCGTCACGCTTCATCCGTGCGGCTCATTTCACAGGAATTCTTATACATGCGACGAAGCGAAGGGGGTCTAGGCATCCCAAACCTCAAGGCGCTGCTCAAACGTCAGCGTCTCCAATTATTGCTGCAGTTCATCACTGCCGCTACTGCCAAAGGTGAGCGTAACTGGACCACTTCAGGCTCTGAGGTCCTCATGTTAATTCTTCCTCGCACTGGCAACCGCCACGCACTCGACTTCCTCACCATCTCCCCACTACGTCACGGTGAGATGATCAACTGGCGACTGACTTCACATTGGTGGCGTGTGACGTGGACTTGGTGGTACAAGATCCGCTGGGACATCACGCAACGCGATTTACCTTCCGGCGATCGCGTTTTATATAACCTTCACCAGCCGATCTGGTATCATTCGGACCCAGATCTGCACTTTGAACGGGCAACACGGAGTTGTACCAGACAAGCGCATCGCCGCTGCATTGGGATGGTCCCGGAACCCCAGCGGAGCTTTCGCCTACATATCGCCAGAGTCTTCCGCATCCGATCGCTCTCCGACTTTGTGCGAAGTGGATATTCCTGGCCGTCTCAGACAGACTTTGTTTCGCGTCTTATGGACTTCACGCTACTGTCCACAGCCCCTGGTCTCCAAATCAAGTGGTTGCGCGTGCTTTACAAGGAGACGACACAGATTGTTGAACGTCTGAATGCACGTTCGATCGTATGGCCCGCTTCGCCTCCTTTAACTCAAGTGGCTCCCTACTTGGGCTGCACGATTGGTACAAAGACATTTCTGGTCCCTGCAATTCCGCGGACCGCGCTTCTCGGTGTGGTTTGGCAGCCTGTGATGCCAGCTAAACCGCATCCCATGACTACGCACTCGCGACACGTCGACGATGAGCAGATCACCTCGTTCATCAAGCATGGTAAGCATTTGCGCAAGATCCTGCTTCCTGTCTTTGAAGACCTGCAGTTCCGCGTGACCTTTCGTCTTTTGCCATTGCGCGCTCGATTTTGGTTTTTTATCGCTTCGAACCCGCGTATTCAGTATTGTGTGCGCGATGGATGCAATGCGATCGAGACAGAGCAACATTTGTTTTTCGACTGCACTCTTGCGTCACGTCTGTGGGGTCACTTGAATCAAGTGATGTCCCCCTTCTTTCGTACGAGGCCGACATGGTTGGACATTGTTTTGGCGAAAAAATGCGCTTGCGCGGTCAGTGGAAATTTCATATGGGCGCCATTCACGATATCTGGGATGCTCTTCGTACGGCGGCTCTTCACTTTATCTGGAAAGACCGCAATCGATGCTTGTTTGATAGACGGTTGCCTACGCCGGAACTCCCTGCATTGTCGGCCATCTTCACGACTTTGGAGGCGCACATCCGGTTTTTTTCACGACATATTTACGAGCGAGACCAGTTGTCGGCCTTGTTTATGATCGTGCGCGTGATGAAAACTTACTCTTTACCCGGACTCTTTACGCATATGGACACTGAATTTACGGCCGACTTTCACGGTTGCAAGTGGCTCGAGCGGGAAGGTATGGCGGTACCATCCCAGAGGTCACTGGTTCGATCCCCGGCAGGGACGGAAGTTAAGCCTTAGGGTCCTGGTGTTTGGGGTTCACCAGCACTGTGCCGCCACACAGTGACGTCCCCCACTTTTTGTTTCTGCACACCAACGTCCACTACCAACCTGTAATGGTACGATTTCGACAGATATGAATCCCAGAAACTCCGATCGATGGCGTCCGCGCCTCACCCATCGTATCAATAGAACGTTCTAAACGTCAGCACAGAACATGATAGGTAAGTTGGGAAGTCACATCGTCTAAATTATTGTAATATAGACAACCTTTCAACTGAGCTATAGGGGCATTATGGAGGAATGAGCTACGTAAACACTTCAAACTGCCGTGCGTAGGAACACGGATACCTGTCGAATCCATACACAATCGATCGTCTCCTACACGATGTGAGGTTCTCAAAGCGCCATCAGATACTGGCTGATGTGTTACTCCATGGAGCTCGCTTCGACACCGCTATGGGCTGTTTGCCACCAGCGAAATCGTCGCACAAAGCAGGTTATGGCTAATTGACGTTGCTCGTTCCTCTGTTTTTAGTGCGGTATGTTGGTGGAGCGTCGCTATGCGCGATTATTGTTGTATTCGAGGAATCTGTTGTGAAGGCATAGCAGTGGGGGAATAGCTCAGTGGTAGAGCGCTGGATTCCAGACCCAGCGGTCGGGGGTTCGATCCCCTCTTCCCTCATGCGTTACTCTTTCACTGGTGCACTTGCACTTCGGGTCAAGCGCTGAAACAGGTAGACTACATAGTCATGTACCAGCTTCACGTGTCAGGGAACGAGTGGGCTTGTACAAGAATGCAACAAAAGTGCGATACTTCTCGATTTATGCGTGTCATCCTTGCGCAGGGGCCATGCTAATCTTCTCTGTATCGTTCCAATTTTTACGGATGACCACCGAAGTGGTTCCTATCTACTGGCCGCACCGCGCGCTATTTAACATCAACAGGGACCACATGTCCAGAACCACTTCGGCCACAAGTGAAGCCTATACGTGTATTCAGTAGCGGCGTATCTGCAAATGCACTGTCTGGCTGCATTTTGGCCCGAGTTGTTGAGATGAGCGCGCCACGTTGATGCACATGGGGAAGACATTACTGTCGACAGCTGTGAGATTCGAACTCACGCGGGTTGCCCCATTAACTTAGCAAGCTAACGGCTTAACCACTTGGCCAAGCTGTCGCCCTCGAACTCGACAAATGCGAACATTTCTACAAATCAAAACCAACCCTTTTGAAGCAACATCTCAACATAGCCAGAACGCGGCAAAAGCGTGCTGACCTACCGTCATGACACCTAAGATCTTCCGTGCTACCACGGTCTGCATACATATATGTACACCGGCATATTGTTAACGTTTGTCGCTTCACAGCCCTACGCATGGAAGCTTTTAACCCTCCGAGACTGAACACTCGCTATCGGCTAGCGTCATCGTTCAAATCCAGCATCGAGAATCTTCTGAATAGATGGTATTCTTTCACAACGACATACCGGTAGGGTACATATCTTCCCTTCGTACCTATTAATCGGGTTATAGCGAGAGTGAATTCAATTGGTCGCCATGCACAGCACATTTTAAACATGTCATCCAAAAACCGATGCTATATCCTGCATCACCAACATACAGCTGATTGTGTACATCCTCGAGAGGCTCTGTATCTTAGCTTTCCTTTGTTCACTAGTAGGCTGCTGCTTAGAAATGTGGGAATCCTTCAGCGACTAATGGCCTCGCGCAAAGGAGCATGCAAAAGCAAAGCGTGGAGATGCGTGCAGGCATAAGACGAGCCCCCAGGCGGGATTGAACCACCGACCTTTCGCTTACGAAGCGAGTGCTCTACCACTGAGCTATAGGGGCATTATGGAGGAATGAACTACGTAAACACTTCAAACTGCCGTGCGTAGGAACACGGATACCTGTCGAATCCATACACAATTGATCGTCTCCTACACGATGTGAGGTTCTCAAAGCGTCATCAGATACTGGCTGATGTGTTACTCCATGGAGCTCGCTTCGACACCGCTATGGGCTGTTTGCCACCAGCGAAATCGTCGCACAAAGCAGGTTATGGCGAATTGACGTTGCTCGTTCCTCTGTTTTTAGTGCGGTATGTTGGTGGAGCGTCGCTATGCGCGATTATTGTTGTATTCGAGGAAACCGTTGTGAAGGCATAGCAGTGGGGGAATAGCTCAGTGGTAGAGCGCTGGATTCCAGACCCAGCGGTCGGGGGTTCGATCCCCTCTTCCCTCATGCGTTACTCTTTCACTGGTGCACTTGCACTTCGGGTCAAGCGCTGAAACAGGTAGACTACATAGTCATGTACCAGCTTCACGTGTCAGGGAACGAGTGGGCTTGTACAAGAATGCAACAAAAGTGCGATACTTCTCGATTTATGCGTGTCATCCTTGCGCAGGGGCCATGCTAATCTTCTCTGTATCGTTCCAATTTTACGGATGACCACCGAAGTGGTTCCTATCTACTGGCCGCACCGCGCGCTATTTAACAGCGACTTGGAACACATGTCCAGAACCACTTCGGCCACAAGTGAAGCCTATACGTGTATTCAGTAGCGGCGTATCTGCAAATGCACTGTCTGGCTGCATTTTGGCCCGAGTTGTTGAGATGAGCGCGGCACGTTGATGCACATGGGGAAGACATTACTGTCGACAGCTGTGAGATTCGAACTCACGCGGGTTGCCCCATTTACTTAGCAGGCTAACGGCTTAACCACTCGGACAAGCTGTCACCCACACATTCGACAATTTTTTTTAATCACAAGGAGAAAAACTTTGATGGAATGGAGTTCGCTTATTTTGTGTGAAAATCCGGACTCTCCAATGGCGCCCAGACAACCGACTAACGGAGGGGGTACTCCGATGCCGCTTTCACTTGTTTCCTCCTCACCTTGTGTACTCGTAGGCAGGGCGGGTTGCACTCTACTCGGTGGACTTGACGAGATGCTATACTTGACTGTTGTAGAGATTGGTGCTGATCGGGTGGAAAATCCTCACCCGATCGCGTGTTCTGGGTTGGCGCTCTCCTAGAGTCACCGTGATCTGCCCTGATCACCTTGTACCAAAATGTGTACTTGAGTCGCGCGCCTTTCTGGCCACTTAAGCCGTCTCGCGATCTTGTACTTCAACCGATACGGTCGGCCGCGTCCGATCGCAGTAGGGGTGCGTTGAGAGTCCTAGCACTCCTGGCCAAATAGCTCCAGGAGTCATCGTTCTATCCTTGATGTCGAGATTGTCAGACGCCATGAGGCCCAAATATTCAACCCGGGAGAAGATCGACACGAATGTGTTCTGAAGCAAATTGAATTCTGTTTCATGTTAACCAGCCGAAACTCAAAAATATAGCCACGCCTACTCAGTATATCAGGATTGACCGCCACGTGTCGTGTCCATGCCGAATGGACTTGCAAACCTTCTATATCTCGTGGCCCACGTCAGATCGCGGCCCCCTGATCGAGGTCCTCCAATCGCGGTCTCCTGATTGCGGTCCTCTGATATTTCTACAGTCTGGGACCCTGCGGACGAGATGTGTTCAATCCCGATGGGCCCTCCCAACGGTAACATCCAAAGAGCTGACTTTCATTTTTCGAGCCATTCAGCCAATACCATCTTGTACGAAGCCGAATCGCCTAGACATTTGGTTTCGATCTCGATCGACTTTACTACAATCTCCTTCTCCACATTTATTCTACTTAAGACATCAGCTAGCTTGTGCACGTGCTCTGTCGTCATTTTCCATTTTACCGTTAATCATGGTTTCCACGTCGTCCTCATCGTCCACGCTCCGTCGTGCCACACCCGACGTGGTTTCTCCTAAGAACGCGTTACCTAACCTTTTGGCTCCACATTTACGTCCGCTAATACATCGCCAGCCACATCGAGTGACACTGCTGCAAACCTGTCCTCTGTGTCATTCTTTCAACCATTGAGGACGACCGGTCACATGGACCCCAGTCTAATCAAAGCGATTTCATTGCCGACCGCTAGAGTCGAATCGCCGCGGATAGCCGATCAAGCGTCTGCGATCGTGATACTCGCTGGTCTTTATCGGCGGATCGCGTCTCATCAAGACTTAGTCGATCGCTACAGCGATCTGGATCAAGCAACGGGAGGACGGACCCGTCAAGGTGATCGGATAGAGCAAAAACTCCATCCCTTTGCTGAGTCGGCCTCTCCGTTCGTGAGTTTTGTTCAAGTCCTTTACGATCGTCTTTGCTTGGACTTAGAACATGCGCGTGTGGAGAACAACTTGCTTCGGGATGAAGTCTACGCGGGTCAGTGTCATCAGCAGCAGATCAAAGACTTCGCGTTGAAGCTTTTGTAGGCGACTTGATCGCTTTATGCTGCACAGCAGCGTCACGATCGGGAGTTGGCAGCCTTGCGACAGCCTATGGATGGGGGAAATAACCAAATTTATAATGCACTCACCCAAGAAACTGCAAGACTTGAGAAGGTCCAGTCAAAGAAAGCCCGGTACAAGGCTGGCTATTCTTAGGACCAAGATTAGATGCTGCGCGATGCTCTTGCGGCATTTTTTTCAGAGGGCGATCCAGCATTGCGCAATCGGGATGCTCTTCGGGCGAGTATTGCATCATTCTTTACCAGCGTACCATTCCCCTTTCTTGCCATTTTGTCGTGGGAGCCCCATCCCGTTCTGAGCCATCATGTGTAAAAAGGTCAGCAAGTTCCATGGACAACCGAGGCAAACGTCACAGATCTTCACTACAGTGATTACTCCGCGGAACAAAAAGGCCAAGCTAAATCATTCCTCTACTCTCCGGACCTTCCCGCAGTCGTCAGTTATGGCGACATCAAAAACCTCTGCTTCGTCTGTGCCCGACGCCGTCTCCCGTCTTTTGTACTTGGTAGGAACATGAAGGACACCATTCTCCGTCCTCTCGCCGTTCCAAGCAATCCACGGCAAATCCAGAACCCCAGACATCCGTTCGTCCGGGTTTGGTGGTTGTAAGGAAAAAATAGACTGCGCGTCCCGGCATCTGCTGCGCTCCT